CTAACACCATATTGTCTAAAAATAACTGAACTTGACAGTTGACAATAACAATCAACATTTGTATTTTTATGATTCTTGTGTGTACGAGTATGTTTTGCAAAATAATCTTTCAAAGTAAGACGTTTTCCCGATTACTTGAAAATTGCGACTACACGATAAAATAAAACAAAGATTGTGAAGGGGATAAAATTTGTAGGCAAGCATTGCTCCTGAACGGCAAGTGTTGGTGTCAGGCGAAACAAGCGAATCCGTATATTCCTGTACAGCGTAAGGGAAGCCTCACATATCGATTTTGTCCATGAGAAACGTCATATGTTCGTTTCTCTGGACACCCCCCCCCCCACCCCCCCTTAGAAACGTGACACATAGTAATCGATATTTTGTTCTTATAGTACACATAAGTTAATTTTCTACTATTTTTTCGGTCGGCTATTGGAGATGCTTCTGCGAGGAATATGTCATCTTTTCAACGTTTCTCAAAACAACTTTTTTGCATGAAATATTGATAATTTTAGCGCGTTTTTCTTGAAATTTGAGTATTTTCAACACAAGGAAGGCGTAATAATATAAATGTATAGGTATAGAACAGGTATGGTATTACGAATATATAGACTGCTGTTTGTATCAAATTGTTTTCTTTTTTATATTCTGCAAAGTTAAAAACTATCGAATTTTTCCATGATGTTTACAGAGAAACGTCACAGCTGCCAACCCCCCCACCCCCAAACGAACATATGACGTTTCTCGTGGAAAAAATCGATATGTGAGGCTTCCCTAAACAGGTTACGCGAGGTTTTGTATTTGTGTTTATTAATATTGAACTAAGTCAGATCTATAAGAGCATATTTAATTTAAACTAAATTGTTCAAGACGAGAGAAAGGAAATTTCGTGTCAATCACCACTTGCATGGAGACGCCTAGATGCAGCTTGGATGCAGCTTTGCCTGTAGTTGAAAATCTCCAGAAATATCGGTATATCTTAGAAAACATAGACGGGATCTTCATAGATTTCAGCTGATTCGTGCCAAACTTCGCTCTACACATAAATAATACCGATTGAGAAGTCTTTTGGCTATTTATTTGTTTCGAAGACTTGTATATTTCATTAAAGAATATCTCGCCACTCCTTGACGAGTAGCTGTCAAATACTGCCATTTTTTGTCGTCACGTGACCGGCCCAGACCAGGGCTTCCTCGTGTCTCGCCTCGTCCTCACACTGAAGCCCTGGGAACGAGGTTGGAACGAAGCAATTCATTGTTATAAACATAATTAAAAGCAATTGTCAAATCGAGCCAATGAAAATCACTCTTCTGAGCTACTGCGTGGTTATTCAAATGAAATAAAGCATTCGTTTATTAGGCAGTATTTTTGCATTATTGCACATTTTAAGAAAAGACCCAGCTGAGGCAATCTCGTTCCCTGGGCATTTTCCGTTCTCAGCTAAATGTCGGCGAAAATTGCCTTGGAATTCTACAATCCCACTGGTTCGTTTAAAAACGCATTAACATTTTTATATTTTAATTATATACGGTAAATTTAGGAAAACACCGACAGTATAATAAAGATTCACTTACGTCCTATACTTGTTGTGCTGTGTGTTTGTCGGGTTCATTGTATATGAAGAATGATGCAAGCACACTGCTCTTAAATTAAATAACGTCTTTAGATGAATAAGTTGGCAAATATTCATCTCTTCATGTTTATTATTCGTAAACAAACAAAGATTTAATATCACATAAATTATCCTATCAAAATACCCAGAAATTCTGGGTGTCATGTGACCATCGATCCCAGGGCCATTACGGCGACCTTCAGCTGTAGAAGCAAAATGCCCAGGAGACAAAGCTCCCGCTGAGGATTTAGAGTTTCGTGCTTGATCTCGCTTAGTAGAAAAAGATAAATTTGTGTTGAACATTGCAACACCTTAAAAATTATTTGATTATCTTCTTAAAGGTCCTCATTCACGAGTGATGAATATTTGGAATAATTAGTTTCTACATCTATTTTTCAGATTTGGGAAAAAAAGGTTGAAAGAAATTCCATGGCTTTGGAAAAAATAATTAATTATTACAAAAAATGTTTAGCAACTGCCAATGAAAATCGTGATCCGTCAGCAATTGCAATTAACAATGAACATTTGGGCAATGCCTATCTTACTTTGGGAGAGTACAGAATGGCTTGTGAGTATTACGAAAAATGTTTAGAAATTTGCACCGAAATTGGCGATTGGCGTGGAGTAGCAGGATGTAGTATAAAGTTAGGAGCAACTCATGTTAAATTAGCCCAATATGAAAAAGCGATAAACTATTACAATAAAAGTTTAGAAATAAGTACCAGAATTGGCAATTCCTCAAACATAGCAATAAGTAATTGCGGTCTGGGTGAGGCCTATTGTTACGTAGGGAAGTATAGAAAAGCTATTAGCTATTGCCAAAAAGGGTTAGAAATTAGCACTGCTACTGACAATCAGTCAGGAATAGCGATGGCCAATGTCGGCTTGGGTACTGCCTACTTTGGATTAGGAGAATATAATAAGGCGACTGGCTGTTTCAAAACAAGTTTAGCAATAAGCACTGTTTTGGGCGATCGGTTAGGAATAGCCACTAGTAATGGCAATTTGGGCAATGTCTATCATAGCTTAGGAGAACATGACAAGGCTATTGGCTGTATCAAAAAAGCTTTAGAAATAAATACTGCTATTGGCGTTCAATCAAGAATAGCAAAAAATAATAGCGGTTTGGGTGAAGTCTATTATCGTTTAGGAGAGTATAAAAAGGCTATTGGCTATTTCAAAATTAGTTTGGAAATTAGCACTGCTATTGACGATCGGTTAGGAATAGCAACTGCGAATTGCCATTTGGGCATTGTCTACCAATGTTTAGGGGAATATCAGAAAGGCATTACCTGTTTAAAAAAAAGTTTAAATATAAACACTGCTATCGGCTGCCAGTCAGGAATAGTGACTAACAATTCCAATTTAGGTGGTATCTTTTATTGTTTAGGGCAGTATGAGAAGTCTATTGACTATTACAAGACAGGTTTAGAAATAAGCATTGCTATTGAGGATCAGTCAGGAAAAGCAAGTATTAATGGCAGTTTGGGCGGTATCTATCTACATATAGGAGAGTATGAAAAGGCTATTGACCATTACAAGAATAGTTTAGAAATAAACACTGCTATTGGCGATCGGTCAGGAATAGCAATTTGCATTGGCAATTTGGGCATGGCTTATCAAGATTTTGAAAAATATCAGAAAGCTATTGACTATTACGAAAAAAGTTTAGAAATAAGCACTGCTATTGGTGATCGGCTAGGAATAGCAACTAACAATGGCAATCTGGGTAATGCCTATTTTAGTTTGGGAGAATATCACAAGGCTCTTGACTACTACAAAAAATGTTTAGATTTCAGCTCTGAAACTGGTAGTTTGTCCGAAATAGCGAGTGCCAATTCCAATCTGGGAAATGCATATCGAGGTTTGGGAGAGTATAAAGTTGCCTTATCATACCTAATGAAATCAATTACACTGTTGGATAAAATTCTCTTAAACTTGGTTCCAGATCAAGATAAACTGTCGTTCGCAAAACAATATTACGGTTGTCATCAACTTTCAATGAGCTGTTTCCTTTCTTTAGAACGTAATGAATCCGCATTATTGGTCATTGACCTTGGCAAGGCTAAAGCTCTACATTGCTGTGTTGAGAAGCATAAGAATTTTGTGGAGGAGGACATAGTCCATTATGCGCAGGCGATATGGAATAAGATTGAGGCCAGAGAAGAACAAATGGAATTAAAAGAAATACAAGAAACGTTTTATCTGGAAGAAAAAAATACTTCAATTTTAGTATTCGCATTTGACCGGGAATGTAATCTGAATGTTTGGATTTTAAATGGCGAATTTAGGTTTAGAAAATTAGATAGCCATTTTAAAACATGTGTGGGGCTAATTGTGGAGCTTTTAAGCAGGCTAAATGTCACTGTAACTCGAAATTTTTCGTTTTTCAAGCTTGATTCAGTTTCTAATAATAATAATTGCCAAAACATTATTCCCTTGAAAATGCAAAGCGAGAAATCTGCACCTAAAAATGCAGTTGAATATATTGAAAATTATGGCAATTTTAATATTTCCAAGATTTTAGAAAAATTGTTTCAACTCTTAATTGACCCTGTAAAGGATTTTATTCGAGGCAACAAGCTTATTATTGTCCCTGACCAGAAACTGTTTTTCGCTCCGTTTTCTTCCTTGATTGATGAAAATGGCCGTTATTTATCAAATAGTTACAGCATTCAAATCACGCCTTCATTGCACACTTTGAAGTCTAGCTTGGAACGACCTCATGTCTCAAGCTTTGGTTTTGCGTTGTTTGTTGGTAATCCAACCTGTGGAAAAGTGTCTTTATATGATAAAGAATTTATACCATCTGACCTACCTAGTGCTGCTGAAGAAGTTAAATATCTTTCAAAGCTCTTTCAAGCTACCCCGTTGTTAGGACGCGATGCCAGAAAAAATGTGGTATTGCAACATCTAAGTCGGGCTAGTATTATCCATATTGCTGCACATGGGGAACAAAATCGAGGTGAAATAATGCTTGCGCCAAATTCTACCCAGCGCCAGACGAGTTCCTCTGTTTCCAAGCCAGAGTCGTACCTTCTTACACAAAAAGATATTACAAATATTTCTTTGCAAGCTCGTCTTGTAGTTTTATGCTGTTGCCATACGGGGCAAGGTGAAATTTCCTCTGAAGGTGTCATAGGAATTACTCGATCATTTCTTGCTGCTGGTGCCCGCTCTGTTCTAGCCGCACTATGGCCAATTGATGACAATGCTACGAAGAAGTTTATGGAAACATTTTACACCGAGCTTTGCAACGAAATATCAGTTTGCGAAGCTTTAAGAAAGACAATGAACGTCTTCCAGGCTCACGAAAATGAGGAGTTTCGATCGTTTAGGATCTGGGCTCCATTTACCATCTATGGAGAAGATGTGAAGTTTCAAAAAAACGAGATTGAAAAAATAAGAGAAAAATCTCGTGAAATGTTTTCAGATTTCGTTATATTGCCTTAGAGTTGGCAACAATAGTGGTCTATAATGATGCCAATTTTACTTTGAGAATTGTTTTTTTTGAAAACATAGTTGTATTCTTGGAATTCTTTAGTAGTTTTTAAGGAATAAAACTGCAATAACATTCAACTATTTAAATCGAATAAGATGTTTACAAAATCTTGATATTTACCTATAACCCATAAATGGCAGTACTCTGGTATACGTACAAGAACTTGTGGTTGTAATTTCCATCTACAAAATCCTTCAACTATTATTCAATCGAGTGAGATGCCAACAACATTTTCGTTATTACGTGCTTGATAACTCTCTTCCGTAATTACTTTGCCGTTCAGTCGTGAAAATATTTTTCGTTTGGATTGATTATCTTGGGTTATGTGCCCGTTGATGCATAAAGTTTAGTTTTTTTTTTATAAGCCGTGAAATTGCCAAAGTTGTTAAGTGGTGGTAGAATAGATTGCTTTGTGTGGTATGTTTTTCTGTTACAGGAAGAAGGGCGTCATGACTCCAAGGTTGTCATATTGCTGTAATTAATACTTCCAGGAAATAAGAGGAGAAAGAAATTTTAACTTTGAATGTGCTGTTCAAATTTTGTGTTTGTAAACGCATATTTTGGATTTTTAATAGCAAGCTTACCAAATTCCTGCAGTGCTTTTTTTTTAAAGTAACAGATAGAATTTTGTTAACTTCTTAGGTTGTTGCTTAGAATTTCCTGACCGTTCTTGAGTACGTGAAAAACGAGATTCTGCGCTAGCAAGGTTTCCAGGTGTTTGTGGCAAATACAAAAGTTATAGTTTAGCCTTCGTTTGTAGTTTAGAGTTACAGCCCAATGTTAGATAAAAGTAAGAATTTTTAAACAAAGATACCAAATTATACCATAGCTGTTGCCTCACCAGAACATAGTAAGAAAAATATAGTTTAGCATTTCCCATTCTCTTGTCCTCAGTCGATTACGTTGTTTCCAGGTGAGTTACAAAATTGTTTCTGTTTTTTATTCATTATTTTTAATTCATACTTAATATTATTTTGATTTTTCTAACTTAATAAAAGTTTGTTCAAAATATATATTACTGATTTCAATGTTCAAGATTATAAATAACAACAGTATTAACATAGATTTTACACCGTTAAGCGAAACACTGCAATGCATGGTTTATATTGCCAGCATTTACATATGCAAAAAATTAGAAAAATTATCTTATTTTAGAATGGCGTTTTGAAAAGAAGCTAGAATACAATATATGTTTCCCTGGAAATTGTCTTTAAATCAAAATATATTTTGTAAGATAAAATCACTTACTTTCGTTTCAAAAACCTGAAAATTCGCTTGGAATTTTCCTATCAAGATTTCTTAATTCGGACATTACTTAATTACAAAATAACCTGTTTGCAACATTTTTAATAATTGTGTCAAATTTTTAGTTAGTTTGTTCCATCTTTTCTTATAACCAGATGTTTTTTGTTAGTTATATAAACAGAGTTTTCTAAAGTTTGCAGGTACGTGTGTTTTCTTGAAAGGACAACAGAAAGAAGAAGAAAATAATTGTGTGGATTTGATAAACTGAAACTTGATTTTCGAGTTGTTTGAACAACTTTAGTCGTATGGCCGGTCTTCAAAATATTATCCCATTGGTATTTAAGAGATTGCTAAACTTTTGATTACAAGAAATGACTTGAATAAATTGTCATGCTAATTATTAATTTGCATATTAGTTTGAAATATGGCTCCAGCGGTAAATAGTAAATTATGCAACGGGGCTTTGTAAATCGATTACCAGAGAATAAGGTAAGTCGTTTGAAACTTACCGAAATCGCTTGTCACAAAGCCAAGTGTGTTGAAAAATTCAGTGTAAATTGGCCTGATTGAAGTTCACCTATCCTGCTATTTCTATATTTGTACAGAGGTTTATTTTTACCACATTTTTCTATTTGCTTCTGTATAAAAATTCCACGACAGGAATAAATTGAAAAGCAGGATAGACATGATTTAAACCAGGCAAAAATTACACTAGATACCTAGACATGCAGACTTGATTTTTAGGAACTGGCGATGTCGACAAGTAGTAAACCGTATTGCATCATACATTTTACTGCTGACAGTGAAAGCCGTTCTAAAAAACGATATGTAAATTAGTCTCAAAGTAGAAAAAAATATGTTTGAAATTTCTCGCAATGTGATTTTTCTAGATTGGAAATATATTATCTTCTCTCTTTGAATATAAAACTTGAAGGCATTTCAATTACCTTTTGAGGAACAATTATTCAGCTCAACTGTTAATCAATTATGAATTAAAAGATATACAACATCCATCTTGAAACCACAGTAACCCATGTCGTAAATGGTTTGGTTTCCTATCACTTAATTAAACCGTTGTGATGATAATATTTTTTGCGACTTTTATTTGCTCTTATGCGACCTATTTATGCATTTTATTATGTATGTATGATTGTTGACGATTACGGTATAACAGAAATTTTGCTGGCTAAAACATGCCTTGTCGAAACAATATTGCATGCAGTGAGAACTGCATGCAATATTGTTTCGACAAGGCATGTGTACATTTATGGCGGATTTGAAAAATTATGTTTTATGCAAAATGGTTTAGTTTTCTATTTCAATGTCAAATTTTTCAAAAAAAATAAGATCAACCAATAATGTGCGTTTGAAATTCGCTCTGCAGGTGCATTTATATTTTGATTCATGTATGCATTAAAACCAGGTGATCTCGAAACTCGGAAAAGGCCTGGTACTAGTTGTAAAATAGAAATCCATTTCTGGTTTAAAATTACTCAATATCTCATTAGCAGTATTAGATTTCCATCTCAAATTTGTCCCAGTTATTCATTTTCCTGTACAAGATACAGACACAAAGTTTCAAACAGTTTTACAATTTTACAAAAATATCAGAACGTGACAAGTGATTAAAGGTACGAAACTGAATTTCTATTCTGTTGCTAGTCCCAGTCCTTTTGCTCAACATCAGATCACCTGGAAGACATTGCAGCAGCGCAAGCTGATGTTAATATTCAACATGGGATTTTATATGCTAGAAATTTTCATATTTGACACTATAATAATTGTTGTAAGAATAACTGGCATTGTTATTTGAAAAAATTAACCAACAACTACAGGAAAGTTTATGCAAACTTGGCTACGAAGAAGTAACATAAATATTTATCAAACTATTTTTTTTGTTTCAAATTTTAAACATGATGTCCACTCGTGTGCGCATGTGCGAACTTTGTTTACGTTTTGAACTGTTATATTTGTAAAACATGATATACTAACTGAATATCTAACACTTTTCTGGTTCGCCATGCTTGTAAATGAATATAAACTCTATGTTTCAATTCAAAAAAGTTCGAAAGATGCAAAATTAGGGCAAAGTTTATATCGCGGGGTCCCCCCTTTGTTATGAGCAGAACTGATGCGCAGAACTGAGTGGACATCATCTTTAAGTTATTGCAACTACGGTGATATTATCGATTTCTATGTAGCAAATGAAAATCCTGTAAAAAGGTAACGTTGATAACGTTTTTCACAAGAATATTTTCACTAGATGTTCTTAAAGTCGATATTTTAAAACGCTCTATACGGTGTATAAAAAAAGAAACCTTTCGAAATTTACCTGATTGTTATAATTTGAATGCCATAAGCGCTACGCTAAACACAAGAGTGCAAAAACACAGTTGAATTGAATTTTTAATTACAAAGATCAAAACATATTGTGCTGAACTACAACAGATTAATTTCTAAAGATGTCCTTATTTATGATACACTTTGTATACTGACTTATTCCAATCATACAGGAAAGTTTTTAACGAAATAGACACCATTTGTTTTTAAGAACAAAACAAAATGATATGCAAAACATGCTGATTTTTCCTCTGTCGTTAAGTTTTCGCACAAATTTGCATAAACGTTTGTTGAAAGTTGAAAACCGGATGCAATTACACTTGTAACAAAGTGAGCATATTTATGTATGACACCATCCAGTATTTATATCTGTAATTGTAAAAAAACAACATTGAACGGTGACCAACATTCTGCAACCTGGTTGAACATTGATGATACAAAACCTGATTGAAACAAGCAACATTGCCGGAACAAAACGTCAACTTTGTGTTTCTGTATTGGGCCTGATGAAAGAACATCTCGCGTATTTTATTCATATGTATTTTTGGTAAATAGAAGGAAGAAATGTATCTAGTTGCTGATCTAATCACAAAAGATTACCACTCCGTGCAATTGGTACAAAAATATTGCGAAGAAATTCGTTATTATCCACAACATTTAACGGTATATGAAAACCACAATGTCCAGATAAAAACAAGTTTATCTGTTTTATAGTTGCAACGCAGAACACTCTTCTAATTTCTGATTCAGCTCAACATTCTATTTTGAATTGCTTAATATAACATTTAAGCACAACAACGATTCTACGAGGTAGTGAGACATTGATCCTACGATCCACAAACTTTAGACATCTTTAAAAATTGTGCACATTTATTTGGCAATTTCCAACGGAACATATCATGATTCATGTTCATTCAATAACTATACTGGAAGCGTCTGTTATGATGTCAAATCCAATCGAGCGATGTCATTTACCAAAATTCTGTATACGTTCCAGTTAGATGCTTGACGATTAAAAAGACAACAAGTAAATAACTGTCATGTTTGTTGCAGTAATCTGAAAGCCTACCACCAGTATGATGGGTCAATTGTTTATTTGCATGGAAAACAAACATCCGGGTCCTATACCAGTGAATAATATCTGATCTACCATGTATGATATAACGTGAGGAATATACTTCATATTGACTAAATAATTTGTACCTGTTGGGAAATACTGAAAATTGATCAATTATTGTTCGCGTCTGAAGCATTGTCTCTCCTACAACTTCAAAATTGACGAAAGAACGTTGTGGTAATAACGAACTTGTGTACAAATTTGGAATCCAATCTCTTGTGGTAATAAAAGCTTGTCATGCAAAATATT